AAAATCAAATTTTAGGTTTTGACGAAAATGGACGTTATGAGAGCCGAAAATAAAAAATTTGTCCGAATTGACATGCCGCCTCTATATCTGTGTATCTATGTATCGCTGGTCATTTTTGTGACCGCATTATCTCAAAATTGTCTCAAAGTAGAAATCTAAAATTTTACTTATAATATTTGTGAGGTGCAAGGACGATCCTTGTTGAATATCAGTGAAATTTCTGCACCAGGGAGGGTACGTTTTAAGAGAGCAAAAAAAAGCGTCATATCAAAAAAATTTTCAAATAAGAATTATTCAGAATAAGGAAATGTGCCCAAAAAAAACTCTTGATATTTTTTCGTAAGGTTAATCATTCCTGAGAAAAAAAGGTTTAAAATTAATTTCATTCAATTAAAAAAATAAAGTCGGTCTCGACAACACTTTCATCATATCCAATTTGAAATAAATGATGAAATAATACGAACCCACAACCATTTCTACCGGCATTACCAGTACCGGTGACGGGATTCGAGGCTGCAACTACGATAGGGAGATTATTTAGTCACAATCTAGCCAATTACTCCATCGTGTCGTTAATCACCTTCACTGATCAACTTGATACGAATAAGATGGCTTTTGGTTATTTCCAACAAGATGAAGCTCGTGCACATACACCAACAGTCAACATGTTGAAAGCTATTTTTCAAGATAACATCCCCTATGCGGTTTCTTTTCGTGACCTTTTTTCAAACCCAAGCAGTCAAGCACCACACTTAGTAGTCTCTACGTAGTAGCTACCATTACAGGATCTTTAAAGGTTTCCGCAACTAATGACTATTACATAATGGGAACGATCCTACTACTAAGCATTCACCAAAATAGGGAATAGTCAATACGTAGTAATTACTATTCCGGAACTTTCCCAGTTACGTGTTGACAACCAGGATATTATGTAAACGGAACGTAACAAGTAGAAATGACTAAATTTTAGAACAGCTCTTTAGTGATATGAGAGCAAACTATATTTTGCTCTCTCACTCTCTCGTTCGAACAGCAAAATAAAATGTATTGCAATGAGACCTACTGGTTGTACGTTTGAAATTAATATGTTCAAGTTAAATCGATTGAAAAGGGAAATTAAAACGACCACCTGTTTCTGTAAAATATTACCATGATGTTTCGATAAAAAAGACGCGCTCTCGAGAAAACTGTTTTTCCAAAATAATAATAATAATAATAATAATAATTATCCAAAAAATATGTGTACTATCGAAAATGCAAACATTTTTATGGAAAACATTTTTTTGTTTTATGTATTATAAAGGGTGACGGAAATTGCAACAATTTCCCTATATAGTTATGTTTACCAAAAATTGTAAATGCGACGAATGGCGTCATTTTCTTGGTAGCTTTAAACTGGCGTCTACTACGCTGCTACGAAGAGGTTACTACAAAGTTTCCACGTACTTTACGACTCCCACTTTTAAGTTGTTAGAGCTGGATGATCCGATCTATACTATATGCATATCATATGAGCACATAAAAAATTGTTTACCTGGGCTCACAGAGCAATCCTTTGTCTACCTACTCGTGCAATATTCTCTGGAATAGGCTCGCAATGCCATACATAAATACACAAAATATATTTATATAACACCGAGACTTTATGCTAGACATTTTTATGTGCTTTTATATGAAATAAATGGAGTATGGTAAAGATAATTTTATTGCTTGGGATTGGCAAAACGGTAATGACTGACTAAACGTCAATAGGTGGAAGGGTTATTATTAGCGAAAATAAAACACATGATTAACTCGGGAATTTACCTTCAATACCAAACAATTCATTGTGGTGAAAATCTCGATTGGCCAAAGTTCCCTAAGTTATCCATTTGTCTGAATTTCACGAATTTGTTCAGTAGGTGAAATTTCAATTAATAACAGTAAACGGACAATCACAAAGAATCACGATCAATTACATTCTTTACTTCAACATTTGTTGGTTCTTCACTACAATGTCTGATTTTCCCGAGAATTGGTCATTTATCTGTTCGAACGAATAAGGATAAATCTCGCATCAATCAAATAATGTGTTAAATTCACTTAATTGTAACACAACTTTTCTATAAAAGTTCGATGAATGCAGGAAAATTTTTATTGTTGTTTTACTGCTTTTCGACAACTTTCCAACCGAATAAGAAAGTGTTGACTTAAATGTTAATATCACTTTATCGTAGATTTTCAATGTATACGTAACTTTGTAGTCATTTTGACTTAGTGGGGAGTAATAAGAATCACTTTAAAGTCTCTTTGTTTAAAGTTCCAGAAAATTTCCCGACAACGTTACAGGAACCTTAAATAGAAAACTTTCAGGTATCATTACTTTGAAACGATTGTTTTGTAACGCTGTGCAGTCGGCATTACTACCAATTCTCACTTTAAAGTTGAAACTGCTTTAAAGTATCCGCGACGTTGCACATACTGCACAGTCACTAAAAGTGTAATAACTATACAGTATCTGAATTCAGTAGAATTTACGTAATTGTTACTACACGGGCATACCATGCAGCAGTTATTTGAAAGTGTAATAACTATACAGTATCTGAATTCAGTAGAATTTAAGTAATTGATACTACCCGGGCATATCACATTAAGGCGCAAATTTAATGATAGTTATGTAATGACTACTGCATTAATGTTCCGATATCAGCTTCCGTCACTTTGGTGCTAGTTGGGAAAAGTTCAACCTCTCAAGTTCATATTCTTGACACTAACCATATTCAAATCAGAACTGCAGAGAAAATAGAAGGAATCAACAACAGTCCCATTCTTCTGCAAACTATTTTCGATCCGTTAAAAAGAGGGATCAGAAGTGTCTGGACCAAGGTGGTGGACACTTTCAGCACCTCTTGCAAAGACTTTGTATTTTGATAATAATTCACAAATTAAATTTACTATTGAAGAAATCATTGATTGCTATATTATTCTCCATATATCAAACTCTGAAATTAGTAATTAGATAATTCAATTTTAGTAATTAATTGTTTGTTACATTTCAAATTATATATTACTTCTTGTTGGTAGTACGATCAATAAACATTCTACATACCTCCATTTCACTCTTCCTAATATAACTTAGATTCATCCAGCCTACCAAAAGATTGGATGACACTTCGGCTTAATGTTTATTGCATTCATTTGGAATACACAGTATTTTACAATACAATTATCTAACAAAAGAGTCGTAAATATATGTAAATAAATAATCTATATTAGCCAAGTTTAACATACACTTTTTACAAAAGACCTATAAAACTTTGAGAAAGGAAACAGACCTGGTTTCCGAAACGTTAGGGAAATATTTTATTATTTTTTTTGATTTACTACTTGTCAAAAACAGCCTTTAAGGTAAAGTCACAGACGGAGAGATTTATTTCCTAATAATATACTGGGTAACCGGCATTTCCTGTGTCACAATGAACAAATAAATAAGTAGAACAAAATGTAGACCAATACTGAGAAGCAGAATCTCATATTATTTTATTTTATAAGAGTTACTGTTCACAATATGACATGACATTTGAATATAATTTTTGGAAAGATTGGAGTATAAACCAACTAATACCTTAACAAATGAATCAATACTTCTATCCTTCGTTCATTAGTTTTACTCATTTCAATAAAATTTTTAGTAGTATTAAAAAACTGCAACCATTATGTTGCCAGCAGATGGCTTGTCTTCAATAAAGTGCATCGACTCTTGTCTACCTGCAGGGTCAGTGGTGGGTCTAAGTTTTATTCTGATACTACACTTTGAGGGAATTATTTCCAACAATTCTTACATATTACATTCATATTGGATATTCATTGAACTAACGTGTTAATCTAGGAATCCATTGATTGTTAATATTTCATTTTCAAATTCTCATATATAGTAACAAATTATATTACACCTTTATGTTAAATTTAAGTCATAATTTTAACCCGATTTTACTGTGCAAAATAGGTTAAAGACAGTTTAATTCAACTGTTTCTTCTCCCCGCTTAATGTGAATTTTGGACATACCATTTTATCATATCAAGTCTCTCCATTACTATTATGGTTAAAAAAAACACATCAAGATATATTTTTTTTTTGTACAAAGATGGACAAAATAAAACACGTTTTCTCGCAACTAAAAGCTATTTTAGGGACTTTCATGCTGTGACTGTTGTCTGATGCCTTCTATTTGTCCAAATGTCCAATATTTATTTTGAATCACACACTATCAACTAATAGACTTATAATAAATAACATTGTCAAAATAACGTGCGCCATTTGGAAAAAAACAAAATACAATTTAAAAGGGTCATACAAATTTTTAATTTTTGTCAGAGTAAAACTCACTTAAGGCCACTTTCTTCATGTCTAGTTTAAAAAAAAATTCTAGTGGTTAACATTAAGTAATGCCTATTTTTATTTTCCAACTGTCTGTATGGTTTATCAGTTAGTTAAACTAGGTTCAAATTTACCTCCTACTTGTGCAAAACGATTGCCTGGATCGTTTTGCACTCTAAAGGTAATTACAACCTTGCAATTGAATATATATTCGGATCATTTATGGAGGGATACATGCAAATGAAAAAATGTAAATATATTTTATTCTTTAGATAAATTTATGTCGGTAGGTATCAAACACTTTATACATAAAACTGAAGAAATCGGCCATTAGGTAAATGAAACATCTGGTATAAGGCAGAGGGGTAAATCAATTTCAATGTTTGGTGTACAAGCATATAGAATATTCCTTGGAATTCTTTGGAGTTTCTTCGGTATTCCGTGTAATTCTTTGGAATTTAATGGATATCCGTGGAATTCAATGAAGCTCCTTAAAAGCTTTAGGTATTCCTCAGAAGTTTTACAATTATTGTAGTCAGAAATTAGTGATGATTTATATTATAGCATCATTTATTTTACATTATGCTCGTATTACATTTTTAAATAGATATAACATATAGTTACTTTCATGACATATAAGTGTGGCTTCGTGGCCGAGTGCTAAGGACACTCGCCTCTCACCCTGGAGTTCCGGGTTCGATCCACGGAGGAGCTAGGGTTTTCTTTAAACCAGAAATTTATCCTGATCTACTCGGATATTGGGTGTGTATCCATTGTCTCTAAATCTCCCACACAAGGTACCTTGAGGTGCCTTCAGGGATACTGGGGGTTATATTACCTGTGCTGTTTAATTTAAAAATATGAATTGACGAATACAAGTAGATAAAAGTGTCATGCACAAAAAAAAACATTATTTTGCATAAACCTGACTTAAAAACATTGTGTCAGAACTTTTTTATTTCCTTCGTTTTATCGGTAGGCGGAATATTGTCCTATTGGTTAGCACTAGCAAGTAGAAGTTATAAATAAGATATAATATTTCTGCAATGACTGGGTAAGGGCAATTTAGGAGAGGAACGTGATTTTAAATGAGCTTATTTAATGATAACATTGTGATAATCAACCAATCGCAATAAAAATTTAACCCTTTACTGCAGGATTTTTTTATTTTCATCTAAAAAAAATATGATGGATAGGAAATATAGTTGTGATAAAAGCAAAAATGTTTAAAAAAAATTATATTTAAAATTGAAAAAACTTATACACAAAAATGGGATTTGTGCCATATATGGCGCAACATGCAAATAAGACATGTGTTAAATTTATCATGTCCATTTTGACCTGGGGGGGATATAATCGCTGTTGTCATTGAAATGTAGGAATCGCTTAATTTTTTCCCATTTATTACAAGACATTATATCAGCAACTAGCGAATGCCTCAGAGTTACGTTCCAATACATTCTTGTAGCTGGTAAACGAGCAACAGACATATATATATATAACAACACAAATTAACTGCTCCAAATCATCAATAGTTAGTGCAAATGGTTCTGTTGGACATATTTGGGTGGAGTACAAGTATGATTGGTGAACAATATAGTTCAAAATTTCCTTAGTCATAAAAAACCTGAAAAATTGAATAGGGGATTCTAATTCACTTATTTCTGGTGGAAGGTCCAAACTTCCTAAAAATTTTGAATCTTCATCCGGAATATTCATTTTGTCTTCTTTCCATTCTAAAGGCTTTTTCTTTCTCATTTCTCTTTGTAACTCACTAAGCGGAATATCATTCTCGCTATCACTTTCATAGTCGGTCTCAGGTATAACAATATCAGAATTATTGGAATATGCATCACTATCATAATCTGATTCCAAGTCCGGAGCCAGTACAACATTTTCTTGATCAGAATCTGACAGATCTTCATCCGCAGTATCCTCTGGTATCTCTCGAACAGTTTTAAATCCTCCATAAAATATTTTTGGATCCATAACACCTGGAAAGCAAGAATAGTATGACTACTAAAAAAATCCTTGATTATGAAAATTCAAAAAAAAACAATGTCGTAGATGCATGCTGTGCCATATATGGCACAAAGCTATTTTTGACATAAAAAAAATATCTAATACATAAAAAATGCCTACTTACCTCAGTAGCCTATTGTCAATAACACACTATTGATCACTAATATTTTTTAGACGATAAAGTTCTTTAAATATTTGAAAAACACAGCAGACAAATTGTAAATTTGTGTAACTGTCATCAGCTGTTGTCGGCCATATTAAAAATATTTTGGATCTCTCACTATTCACTATTAGATGTCGCTACCATGATACAATATGATGAAAATATGTTCCATGTGATAATATATGCACTCTACAGTACAGTCAGAAATACCAACAAATTATAAATTGGTCAAAAATTGCTTTGTATCATATATGGCACAGTATGCGGTAATTATTATTTTCTTGGGTTCTTTTTTTTTTTCGAATATTGCCATTTTTTTCTTGATGAGAACTGAAATAGCTGTATTGTAGAAATTATATGCTCGTTCAATTTAGTCCTATGCATTTTTTACGTAAAATAAACCGTTTCCGAGATAATTTGAAAAACCTGTTAAAGATACGCTAGATCCATCATTTTTCCAAGATGGTGGACTTCGCACAAGTCAGATCGGTGATGACTTTTTACAGGTTATTCAGAAAGACAATTACAACAATCATATGAAAAAAATTCGTTACTAGTTTTGTGCCGACACGACGCGGCGGATGCTATTTCGCCTGAACTATATTATGTTTTACACATAAATTGATTTTGAGGCAAATGATGATTTTAGTACACTCCATAAAGAAGGGATGTAAGTAACTAGATAGCACACCCAAAAGATCCTTCCTAAAAGACAAAAAACAAAACATCTACGAATAATATACGTGCCTAATTAATTAACATTAATTATAATGGTTTCTCGCTTATATTGATCTGATAATAATAGAGAACTCGAGGGTAGAAATTCTAGAATTTGCATTTTAACAATGTTGGTTAACATGAATAAATATTTATTTACCTTGTTTATGCATTCCCAAGTAAATTACATTAGCATCAAATTTAGATCATCTAATTAACCTTATATCCAATACCCAGTGGAGAGATAAGCTTTGCCAATTTCTACTTTCAAATTAATTTCCGTCATTATCCTCAGTATCGTTAAACAAAATCAATAAATCATTATTATATTTAGTTAGGTAATGTATTGATAATGATCATTATTTTAATAATTAAAGAACCCACCCACCCACCCAACAACTCTTGTATAATAGTTTTGTCAGTCACACTTTTATAATTAGGGTGGAATTTGTACACAACTAATTAGAAAGGAAATTAGTTACACAAAAATATATTCCTAGGCGTGAGTGCTACCTCTCAAACTAATTATGACTTATTAGTATTAGTGTCTGTAGAGAAATAGGAGTTACTTTGGTATTATTTGGGTTAAGATAACTAGACATTCTACTGATTAAAAATATAATTTTTTATGTATACAAGGATGTCGTGTACATTAAAATTTCAAAACTGAGGGGCGTGTTACTCGAGGAAAGATAGATAAATAGATAAATAAATCACGACATACTAAAAACTAATACGAGCGAATAAATCTCGGTTTGTTGGGAATTGACGTGCTATTTCTTGGAGTTTTGCTTCCGGAGATGCCGCCCTCTTAAAGGTAAGTATCCACCAAAGCAACATAGAGCAACTTTTTTGTTTATATATGTCGCTATAAGTTACAATATGTAGAAACAAGAAGTTACATAGATAAACATTTCATCTTCACCAGAGCAACATGAAAAGCAAAAATATTTCAGTTGGTCGCTGTTGACCGAGTAAAAGGAACAAAGTGTATCGACCAAGAGACAAGGTTTCTCTCGCAGTGCAGTTTGGACTTTTAACTTTTTTACTATTTAAATGTCATCCGAAGAAGAAATCGCGCTAGCAGCAGCAGCTTACATTATTTTAAGCAAAAAAAAAAAAAAAAAAGAAAGCATAAAATTTGGGTACGTCCTAGCCTTCAAGAGAGGAATCAACATGGCGGATTGCAACTTCTAGACGCCCTAAGGAGAGATGATCTAATGGCAGGGCAAATCATCGATGGCCATATTCAAAATTTTTTACGGATATCAAGTACCGATCTAGAATGGTTGTTGTGCCGTATTGAACCAATTATATCAAAATGTGATACTAATTACAGAGCTTCAATATCAGGAGTTGAGCGTTTACTTGTCACATTACGATTTTCTTCGCAAAGGACATCTGTATCCGGATCTGTTATATCGGAAACTACGACAAACAGTGACAGCCCGTCTCCATCGACGTCTCAACTCAAACTTGTCGACACTTGTCGACACATGTCACCACCTTTCCTTTGATGTTTGCCGCTTCCCATGGAAACACGCGATATAGAGAAACTTTTTAATTTTGTCGCGGTTGACAATGGGTTGCATAGTGGAACTTACTGCAACATTTTTGTAAACAAGCAACAGAAACAAAAAAAGTTGCTCTATATTGCTTTGGTGGATACTTACCTTAAGCGACATTGTTCCATCACTGACAAATAAAAATTATTGAAACTAAATTCCTATTGAGTAAATTTTTGGTCATTTCCGTCATTATGGTTTCCATTGTTTTGAAAGTAAATTTCTAGAAACCTGAAATCTAGGCTCTCATGTAATCCTAGAATAAGAAAATCAGATGATAATAAATGTTACAAAGGCAAATCTGGGGATACACCTACACTCTTTACAGCTCACATTTAGAAATAAAAATAGCTTTTAAATATAATTAAGATTTTTATATTTTTCACAATAACAAATACTTTATTTACATCCAGTAAATCTAACGGATGATGATGTAACCTACGCACTCGAAAAGTTTATTAAAGGGCCAACGAGATTCCGGATTTCAATGAGAATTTGCTTATGTTTCTAGCGCAGCCACTCTCTATCATCTTCAATTTAACTTTGAAACACTAAACCCTTCAGGAAGTTTTTTCGCATAAGCTCTGTTTCCAAAAAGAGGACAGAAATAAAATTGAAAATTATCGTCCGATAACAATAATTTGTACATTGGCCAAAGTATTTGAGATAGCATTACACGAACCACTATAGTTTCAAGTTCAAGAGCAGATTACATCAAGTCAACATGGCTTTGTACACGGTAAATCGACGGTTACAAACCTCTGTTGTATAACCCAATTTATTTGTAATTGTGTTGATACTAATACTCAAGTTGATGTAGCCTACATCCATTTTTTCGAAGGCATTCGATAGGCTAGATCACGATGTTCTTAACAAGCAACTTCTGATGTACTTCAAGGGTCAATATTGAGACCTCTCTAATATATTTATATTTATTAATGACATTGTGGATACACTGGATGTACATTACTTACTCTATGCGGATGAGCAGAAACTATATTGGCATATAGAGTCGTTAGGTGACTTGTCAAAATAATAATAATAATAATAAACAACACAGAAATTAAACAACCCCGAATCCAAAGTCGAAGCTGCACTGGCGAGGGTTACACTTATAAAAAACGTAGACACAATCATTCCCACAAACATTGCTAGTGTTGGTGACGGAATTCGAACCCGCAACTGCGATGGCGAGATTATCTAGTCACACTTGCCATCGCGCGCTCTAGCTAACCACTTCACCAAGCC